GGGGATCGCGGCCTAAAGCAGCTTCTGGGGCCCCGGACTGCCCGGGAAGGTGGTTACCGAGGGCGCCTCTCAAAGAGATTTCCATTGCCACGGCCTTCACCCACTCCGTCTCAGTGGGGAGCAAGGAATGTGCCCCCACGCTAAATAAAACTTAACTCAGCGGTGGTGCTTGCTTAAGATAATTTATGCATATGAGTTGTTGACAGCAATGCCTGCTGCAGAGATACTGAGCATTTAGGACCAAACCTATTCCTTCTGCTTTAACCTTTATGTTTCAAGCCAGCAGAAAACAAGTGGTGCCTTTCAGACACCAAGGTTTCCCCTGTGCAAGCCTCCAAGGAGCAGGTTTCCCTCTTGTGTCCCACACAGATGGCCGCTCTGCGTTGGTTCATCTGTGCAGGCTGCTTGGAGTGATGGGTCTCAGGAAAGGGGTAAAAGACTTTACCTTTTCAAGTGAATCCCAAATATAGCCTGGAAGGAGATGGTATCCAGAGGAGACCATACTGAAGTGGACAGGCTTGGAAACCTCAATGCTTAACACATGTTTGTGGTGTCTCTTCTAACTTTCTCAACAGTGAAATGCATTTCCCAGATTTTTTTACTCTAGGTTGGGATTTAAGCCCAAACTTTCCTCACTGCACCACTGATGCTGGACATGAAAACAGAACCAAAACAGAAATCTCAGTAGACATGAAGCAAACATTGTCCCCCTGCCATGCTGCCAGCTCCAACCGCTCTAACCTGCAGCTGATGGGGATTGTACCCCACGGGGTTGTAAACACAGGCAGTTCTTTTCCGCTACTCCCCTGGCCCGTGCTCAGACCTTCCTCTGAGGAAGACGAATGTCACTGCGGGACCTGTCCACTGAGGACAAAGCGCTCCTGCTGTCTCTAGTCCTTACTTTGCTGATTGTTTCGCCTGCCACTGGGAGCAACCCAGCGTGAATTTAAGAGATCACTCCAGGCCCCAGCCTCTGGAGACGCAGTTCCCAGCTGAGGGGTGGGTTGTTTTCCATGTTCTTTTTGGTAAAATCCCCCAGAGCCTTGAAATTATAGAGCGAAGCAATTAGCGTAGCACAATTTATTACAATTTATAGTGCAGGCTGCAAAAACAACAAAGAACCTTAGAAAGGATCAGAATAAATGTCTCTGCCAGCTCAGAGTCCAGAGTCCAGAACAGCTGTGGTGAAGGACATGAGTTTCTAAGACAAAAAAAATCATCAGCAAGGTCCCCAGGGAAAACATGTCACAAATGCTGTATGTTTCCCTTTTGAAGTCTCAGTCCCTTCTTCCTGCAACACAGCGGGCTAGATGTGAAGAAAAGCATAGCTGAAATTTCTGATGCTTTGATTCCAGCAGCAGAGAGTTTAAGAAAATCAGTAAATACTTCGTACACAAAAGTGTTGCCAATGCTGCCGTCACTTCCCTCCTCATTCATAAACCATTTGTCCAATAAATTTTGACTAGAGTAATTTAACCAGATGCATACCTCATTTAAAGTTGTTTGAACCAATCTAAACTGTAAGAGAAGCATCAAGTTTAGAAAGAGGACGAGGACAGAAATCCTTGGGGTCTCTCTGGTTTTCTGTTGACAGATTCTGTATCAGTGAGCAAATCTCTGCCTTTTTTTTTGCCTTGCTGTCAGTCTCTGGTGGAATTTCTATGCATTCTGGGAGGGTGGAGACACAGATGCCTGGCATGCCACGGGATCTATGCAAGGAAGGAGAGGCATGATTACAGGATTATTTAGAGATATGCCTGAGTACCAGTTTCCTGTGTGGAAAGAAAAGACCGTAACACAAAAAAGCGACCTTCATATTTTGCACAAATAGGAGAAGCCTCTCCCAGGCATGACACGCAGAAAACCCTCAGCACCAAGGAGGGCCACCAGAGCACCCTGAGGGACATCCTCATGAAGGCAGCACCTGCTCAGGGAGCTGGCAGTCGATCCCTCATGAAACAGAAATTCTGCTCATGGCTTTGGTTTCCTTTTCGTATCCCCCAGGGCTATCTTTCTGCATTGGCAACTGCTGAGAGCCTGGCAGGCTCTCTGGTTATCATATTTCTTTCTGAACAAAAAGCTAGGGGAATAAGGATAGTTCCTAAATGTGCTTCCCACCTCAAAGCTGGTTTATGGTTCTGATATCAGAGCTGGGGCACAGTGCACGGGGATGTAGTTACTGCTGACTGCAGCTGCTCAGTATTGAATCTGGCTGGCTTTCATGCCCTGAGCACAGGTTTGAGGGCATAGTCCTTTACTCATTGGCCAGAGGAGAGAAGCCTTCCCCCATCCCAGCTGAGTTAAAAGGAAAGCAAAGACGGGGTTTTTTTTATTTCCCGGAGTAGACTGCACACACTGACCATGGCATCTGAAAAGGTGAGAGCTTGGACAGGGTGGAAGGGTCTGTGAAAGCTGCCTCGGTGCTGGAGTTCAGGTAGAGATGAGCTGTCTGCCCTCTTGGCATTCGCCTAGAACAGCAGTACCTCTTCTTATTTGGGAAGAGGCTTGGCCTTGCCCTGCATGGCTGGAAAAGCCATTTAATACCATGCAAATACCCAGTGCAGCTGCTTGGCATAATCAGTGGGGAATTTGCTTTAAAAATCCAAGATGGGATAAAAGTTAGCAAAACCTGATAGGGACAAAGAGGGAAGCTTTGTAGGGGATAATTTTAAGGTTGCTTATGCATTGCTGGAAACATCAGGTGCAACTAAATATTAAGAGGGCCAGCATGAATGACGGTGACACTACCTGTATGCCCGAAACAGGAGTCACTTTCAGAAAGAAGCCCTCTTTCCCGCAAACCTCACTCTGCCCTGTCTTACAGGTCCTGAAATGCCTTCTGTTCGTGCATTGTTCCCCTTACAGTACTGTGGTGTTCCCACCATGTAACCACTTTATCTGTCTTTCTCTTCTCAGCCGATACTTTACAGCTATTTCCGAAGTTCCTGCTCTTGGAGGGTGCGAATCGGTAAGATCCAGCGATAATCTGTTTTATTGTCTCGGTGTTATTGCACTAACCTCCCCTTCACTAACCCAGTTAATCAGTCACTTATTAAGAGAGAGGTCAGCAAACGTGATCCTGGAACAGTGAGGCATTTCCCCCACTTGTCTGGGGTGGGAGGGAAGGGAATCCCACAGCCTACGTGGAGCAGGGGGAAGGGAGAGGAACGGGCAGGGGGGCTTTGCTCAGCCTGCAGCTAGTGAGAGGGCATTATTCCTTTTGTAAAGCTAACGTGATGCAGGTGGCTGTTTCTTCTACATGATCTAGAAGGGCCCTACACTTTGTTTTCACCCCAATACCACCTCAGACTCCAGTCTGCCCTGATCTCAAGGCTGGGAATGGGCCCTAAATGGAGATGGTAACATTTCCTTGAGCCCATTACCAAATCAAACTGGTCCCAGTGTGGCTGGCTGAAGCTGTACACTTTGTTCTCCGTAGCACTGGCTCTGAAAGGGATTGCCTATGACGTGGTGCCTGTGAACCTCGTGAAGGATGGAGGACAGCAGGTAAGATACAGCTACCATTGCTTTCTCCAGTGGTACTGGGCCATTGACCTTGGGGATCCTTAGGAGAATTGGGATCAGCACTAGAAAGTTCACAGGCAAAGCCACTGAATTCCTTATTGCTTCTCTGTAATTAATAGTTGTTTTAAACCAGTATCCCCTGGCATGCAGGACGGAGGGAAATGACTGCAGGAAACTAAAGGTCTTCTCCTCTCAAACATCTGTGACTGAACTTCATAAGGCTGAAGATCTTTTGCTCCTGCTTAGAATTATATAACTGAACATATTTGCCACACAGACTTCAGAGAAGCTGCACTGCAGTTTAAACACAGACTCAACCTCACTCAGTTCACATCAGAAAGTGTGTGTGGTGGTGGTAGGGTGTCCAAAAGATGCTAAATGATACAGCAAGGGGCTGCAAAGGGCCTACCAAAGGAAGGGGTGGGTTACCAGAAGAGATTTTCACCGAGAACTTATGCAAGGGGGCTTTAGCTGGGACTTGTGCATCTAGTAGTACCATCAGCTTATAGTGCCAGCATGGGCTAAGATGGAGTTGGAGAACTAGAACACTAATGGTGACACTGCTGCAGTATTACCCATCCCAGGCTTTGTACTGATGGTTTATCAAGAAGTAAGGCAGATCAGGTGAGCGCCCTTGCTGTAGGCTAATACAGCATAACTTACTGCAAATGTTAGCAGTGAGGTAGAGGGAAAAGCCAGGTTAAAAAAATAGTAATTGGTAACTGGGTTCTAGAGGAAGAAAATGAAGAATTTCTTTTTGCAATAGAGTAATCTCAGGTTTGTTTTCACAGTTTTCTGCTGAATTCAAGGCAGTGAATCCAATGCAGCAAGTCCCAGCCTTGAAAATTGATGGCATCACCCTTTCTCAGTCGGTGAGTTACCAGCCACATCCTTGTTAACCATTCATTCCAGCCTGCTGCCAGTCTGGAGGGGATGGTTTTGCCTCATGTCCCCCAGAGCTCTCATCTGTGCGATGGAAAAGAGATGGCATTTGTGATAAACAATCCCACTTGGGGCCAGAAATAGCACATAGCACATAGGATTTAAGCTCAGTTCAGCTTTGGTTCGTAACTCCACCTGTTCACTGAGCAGTCTGTAGTCTGGCTTAGGTGGCTGTACCGGGGTTTGCCTGAAATTACAGCTGGGCTATATGACAACAGGGTCTCAAGCAGACATTGAAGGGGATATTCTGTGGCTTGGATTGGTAAAAAACTTCATTCAAAAGCTGTTGTATTCTTTTGGATAAGCTCCCCTTTCCCATGTATTCATGATGTGAACTTTTCCTCGGCTTTCCATTAACCTCCCCTTATCTCTTTGTTCATTACAGCTAGCTATAATTAATTACCTAGAAGACACTCATCCTACACCCAGGCTCCTGCCCCAAGATCCAAAGAAAAGAGCCCAAGTCAGAATGATCACAGATCACATCGTTACTGGCATTCAGCCACTCCAGGTACTGCCTTGTTGTATCCATGCAAATGAGAAAACCAGGACGGGTTTCCAGGAGTCTGTATCTCTGAAGAGTTTAAAGTCTCTTTAAATTGATGCCAGCCAACAGAGTGGCAGACCTTAAGACTGTGTGTGTTAGCAAACATAATCTCTGGTTTGCCTCTTCCTGATCTGCCAACGGCAACAATACAGTGTTTCCTACAAAGAAAACCCTGTAGCACCCCAGGGTTCATTCCACAAACAGCTGAGCCCATGCAGTTTCACTGCAGGGTCTGGTATGTTTTAGGAAGACAACAGCTGAGTAATCCAAAGGGCAGAGGCAAAGAGATACCCTGGCAGCTGTTAAAGTACAGTCCCAGGAGAGAGATACAGCAAGGTGCATGGTTCAGTGAGGGTGAGGTCAGGGCTGAACTCAGGCTGGGAGTTCAGGCTTGATACCTCTTCATCTCCCCTGGATGAGGTAGTGGGTAAGATCCAGCCAGCAGTGGTCAATCTAACCTGGAGATCACTTGCCTTCACAGAACCAGGGTATCCTGAAACAGATGGGGGAGAAAAATATGGAATGGGCCCAGAACTGCATCGGGTTTGGCTTCCAAGGTATGTCCCACATCTAAAATGATCAGCACTTCTACTGACTCTTCAAAAACTGCACCACTGGGGTCCTACTTTCCTCCTCAAGCAGAACAAGAGATCTCCCTAGGCTGGTGTGTTGGGGTCCTGCCCTGCTGGTAGCACTTCAGGGTCTCAGAGGAAAGATACTGTACACAGTGCAATTCCACTGCTGCGCATGGGAGAGGGAAAGCCTGAAGCCATCCTGTACACAGCAGCAGTTGATTCACCCTCATGCATGAGGGCTGGCAGCACTTCTTCTTTTCACCCAGCTGCTCCCACACTAGTGCCTTTTGCTTTCAAGTTCTATCAGTCTATATTGGTAGGCTTTTATCATCAGACAAAATACAGCTGATGGCAAACTCCCACAGAATCTAGCAAGTAAAGTATTTCTTTACCTCCTTGGGAGAAATATGGTGCTTTTTGTTTCATCAAAACCCTTTCCCCCCATGTGCTGGAATGGCAGGCTCATCTTCACTTCTGGACAGGCACAAACTGACTGAACTCCTACATTTTTTCCATCCTGACTCCGCATATCTCTACGTTGTCCTCTTAATGTTTCAGGTGCATTGCCTGAAGCAGCTGAAATCACCGCGTGTCCCAAAAGGACCCTAAAGACTCCTCTAATTATGCTGTTTTAAGATTTCTGTTCCTCCTAGGTTCTGTCCCAAATTGCTTTTTCATACTCAGCTCAGGGTCAAAATGCCTTTGTTCATAATTCCCAGTCTAAAAGGTCTTTGGTGTCTCTTTCAAATGCATTTCCAATGCCTCACTCCGGTGTACCACCTCTCTTTGCAGCACTGGAACAGATTCTGAAGCACACTGCTGGGCGCTACTGTATGGGGGATGAAGTAAGTATCTGAGTGCGTTGTGTCCCATCGGAGAACTGAAACCCCCAGTATATTCCATAAAATAAGAAAGGAAATCAGTTGTGGAGACACAATATAATCCCGTCCTGTGCCTGGAGTTAAATGCGGTGCCTTCACCATAAGAAAAACAGCTGCATAGATCCTGCTTAGGCCATTACTGACTTGGAAATAATTACAGAGATGTTTACTTGTCCCTGCCAATAGCCTGCTGATGGCCAGATTCTGCAGCTGTATCTAGGATCTGGCTGCTACTAGAGGATATGGAAAGAGATCGTATATATTTCATCTTTAAGAGATTTGGAGTTTGAAGTGTACTGTCATAGGGGCAGAGCTTGGCTCAAGAAACACAGGTTCAGTTCTTAGCTCTGCCCTGTGGTACCTTTAACCAAGTTGTATTGTATTTTTCTGCTCTGTTCATCCAATTTTAACATGGACAGATTTCAGAGAGCTCACATACACAAGCTGTTCTGATCCTTACCAAGCTAGAGGCCACTCAGACCTCTACCATTTAGTAGTCCTGTTTGGCAGGCAATTGGATCTTTCCTTAAAAAGCCAGGTAAAAAAGAAGGCTCCTGCAATAACCTGTGATGCAGAGGATGGTCTACTAGGAGCCTCAAAGAACTGGAGCCCTTGGTGGGCTAAGACTACTTACGAGATCTTATGCTGGAGAATAGTGTGTGCTCTGAAAGGCACCCAGAGCGGTGTTGATGTGGGGAATGGGATGGGAGCAGCTGCCCCTGTGCAGATAGCAGCTACCTGTATTGTCCTTCAGTCTTCCTTCCAGACTGCAAGTCCCTGAGCCTGTGTGCAAAGGCTCTGTCACACATTGAGTCTTGACATTGGCAGGAGCTGCTTGATACTCCAGCAATGCAAACAAGCAGAATTTACTCACCTTTTCCCAGCCATGCAAAGTGTCCCTCCCTCCATGGCCTCCCTCTGCAGCTTGCCAGCAGACTCGTTTGCTCAGAGGCAGCTGCCACAGAAGCACTCTGTCCTTGAGGTCACGATGATCAGCTGGTAAATATGAAGTTCCCTAAATACTGCTGGCTTCTTCTACCACTGACTCCTATGAAGCTCCTTTCCTTGTATTGTTCTTATTATTTATGCTGGATTAACAAATGGGATTGTTGTGACAACTCCTCCGTACAGTGAGGCGTAATGGGACAGGCTCTGAGTTACTCTGACCTTTTTTCTCTGCTACATTTTCAGGTTTCCATGGCTGACCTGTGCTTGGTGCCTCAAGTTTACAATGCTGAAAGGTAATTAAGGCTAAGCTTAAGGTGCTCTTCAAGGGCACTTTTTCCTCATGCTGGGGTGTCAGAGCTTGCCTTCTGCTGCTTCTTGTGCCTACTAGGAAAGCATCCCACCTGCCTGCCTTATCCAGTAATGGATTCTTCTCTGCATGAATTTTCCTGTGTCATAAATACTGTCTCTTTTGGAAGCTCTTGGAAATAAAGAGCTGGACTCTCTTCTCAGAGACCCCTGCAGGAGACCTGATCTATGTCCTTAGAAAAGCTAAGGTTGCCCTCACACAACCTTGATTGCAGTCCACATCCTTTCTGTCTATTTGCCCTGTATTTACACTACACACAGGGGAAAGATTAATCTGATTGTATTTGGTGAAAGCCTTAAACCTATGCAAGTAGTGGCTGTGCTATTCCCAGGAAAAGCATAATGCCTTCTTACCCTATGCTGCACACTATGTAAAAGCCTAGTGAAGACTGAAGAACTAACTAACCTTTCTTCTAGCATTTGTTTTTAAACCTACAAGGATGAACTTTTTTTCTTAATGCCAAAGTACCCCAGCCCGTTTGATTCTCCCATTCTGAGCAGGCACAGCACACTGCTCTACCCTTCTGCTCGCTGCTGCACTGGCTGTCTGACTCAAGAGCACCTCACAAATTCTTTTCCTTTTGCAGATACAAAGTGGACATGGACCCATATCCCACAATAACCAGAATAAACAAAGCTCTCTTAGAGTTGGAGGCATTCAAAGTCAGCCACCCATCCAGGCAGCCAGATACTCCTGCAGAGCTGCGAGCATGAAGCCCTTCTGCTCATTAAATCAAGTAAGCTGGAGTGTCAAAGAGGACAACAGCTACAGTTTGAGTAGGACTTCAGTGCCAGCAGGAAGCCCTCGTGCTATTGTCTGGTTGGGAAGAAGGACAGAGGATCTGGAAGTAGCCTGGATGCCTTAGAGGAGCTATGCCTGTGCTGGAAAGTTTGCAGCTACTTCTGACTATAATAATTTCTATCTGGTGTTTTCCATGAAGCACATTAAAGCAGAAGCATCCATAACTATCAGAAGTCTCCTTTGTATGGCTTTGGGTTGGGGAATGTGACCACAAAGAACTGTGAGACATTGAGCCAATTCTGGACTCCCTAGAGGAGCTGCTGCTTCCTACTACCTACAGAAAGAGCAACAGGGAACCAGTGTATGCAGTGTGCTGCTGACCTAGCAGGCCTGCTTGTCCTTGCAGCTGCCTCAGAGCTGTGGCATAATCATCAGTGCCATGGGTATAAACAGTAAGAGCTAGTCTGACAGAAGGCAGCTTAATCCCAACTCTCGTTGGGTCCCACATGTCTTACAAGAGCCAACAGTCAGCAACTCTGCCATGCCTTGCAATGCCAAGAGAATTATTACCTGGACAGCTGATTTGTACCTCCTCCTTATGTCTAGCGGCACTCTTGATAATAAAGGTCTGTCTAGAGCAAAGCCAGGTAGTTGTGCCATAGTCAGCAAGACACAACAAGTTCAATCCCATATGCTGAAAATGATGGCATTCTCTTCCTTCTCCCATCCTCAGACACTGCTGTAGGTGTTTTCCTAGTCCTCAGCTGCAGATTATTTCCCAAGGAAATCCCACCCCAAATTCCCTCCAAACCAGAATCACCTGTGCTTTCACTGTGAGGGCCTCCCAAACAGCAGGAGTAAATCCCATCCCATCCATCCCAAATGAAACCCAACCTGAGTCACCTACCGAGCTGAAGGTACCTCGGGAACTCCAGCTCAGAAACATGCAGGGCAGGAAGGGAAACCCAGAAGCCTGTGACTGTGTTCCTGTGCAGCCTCAGCTCAGATCCCACTGAACGTTTTGGCACCCAAGCCCAGGAACCAAGCCAGGAATATGGGAGGGAATTTTTGCCAGTCTGATGCTGTATATAAGCTGTCCTAAGAGGACAATACCCACAGCTTTCAGAGAGGCTTTACAAACCCATGATCTTGTGTGCAACAGTACCAGTCACCTACATACACATACTTGGTCTGCTACATTGCTTGGATTCATTTATTGCCTTCCATGTCTGTATTCAGGCTGGTGGGGAGCCCTTGCTGTTCCAGGCTCACCCTGAGTATTGTACTTTAGCCTAGGTCCAGCTGGATCTTGACTGTGCTGTTGTAAAAGGTCCCGGCACAGTTGGAGCCCCCGAAGAGCAACACTGTGTGCAGGTTGTGCTCTTCTTCGTTCTCCTTGTCAACATCTGTCAGGTGGGCAGGAGTCAGGTCAAGCAATGTGTGGCCAGCACGGGGCACAGAACAGAGGTCGTGGTGGATCACTGTGCTCCAGGAAAGAGTATCTGAAGTAGAAAGCAGTTATCAATACTGACAAACCCGTTCCTAGTGCAAAGGATGAAACAAATGGACCAGACCAGGTGTTCAAAAACACCACTGCAGCCCAACAGCCACCTCCAGCTATGGAAACCAGGAGGGAGAGGTGACACTCACCTAGGTGGAAGACAAAGGCATCCTGCAGGGCTCCCTTGGCATTGCAGCCTCCACTGATCAGAACCTTCTTGTCTGACACAGCCAGAGCTGAGTGAAAACTGCGACCAAATCAAAGCCGAGAGGTGACTACAGCAAAACCTGCTGGGGTTGCCTCAGCCAGCAATGGGCAGGTGTGGGCAGACTTCAGCAGGGGGCAGG